TTATCTATAATATTCTTATAATATATCTTTACTCCTGATATTAAAAAACAATGTTTACATTCATAGCCACAAAATTTGCCGATATTTTAACGGTTTCTCATGAAGTAGTGTTTATTTATTTATCATTAAATAATTGACTTAATATTATAACTTAAGTGGTTTATTTTGTGCATGTTACTTCAGTATTGTGTAAATGATGTTAAGCGTGAAAATTAAGTTTTATATAAATATTGTGCTTTTATTATGAATACTATTTCATTGAAAAAAAGTAATGTACTGTTTTAGTCATGAAATGGCAATTATTTTTATTTAATGATAAACATTCAGTAATATGTTATTGCTTTTATTCAAAAGTCATAAATTATTATTTTTGGATTTTCCTGATAAGTGATAATAAATTTATATTTTTATAATTGTTAGACAATGTCTCAGTTTATGAATATTAATTATTTCCTCATAATCTTTATGGATAGAGAAATACCCTTGTTATAATTAAAATATAATAAACCGGTTTACTTTTTAATACAAATAATTTAACTTTAGTCTCACATTTACCTTATCGTTAATTTAGATTAAATTGAATCTTAATATTCAAATATTGTATCTTGAAAAATACACTAATTATTAGGATTACCAAATAGGGATAAAATTAAAAATATTTTATTATACTATAATAAATTGTAAAATAAAACTATTTATTCATATTAAGCTACAATAGATGCGAGGATAATTTTATATAAGTTATTTAATAAATGAATTCACAGAATATAAGGTATTCTAATATTAGTTAATTAATAATAAAACAATTTATAAATAATAAAGTAATAATTGTAAATATAAATAATATGTTATAAAATTGAAACAATAAACAAACAATTGCATATAATATATTACATATTACATATTATAACATAACATATTACATTAGTTAGTATTGATACTAAAATCAATTATCAATTGAGAAAAAAATAGATTTATAAAATGATATCTATATTCATAAACTAATTATATAACATTTTAAAACATATATTAAATGTAAGTTTTAATAACGTGTGCTATTAATAAAAATTTGCTTAATTGACAGACAATTCCTGAGGCTATTGAGAGACAATTGGCTGTATTTTTCAGTGCCATTCAGTTTCACAGTCTGTATGTTCGGGAGTCTCGCCAATGAAGTCAACAAATTGTCAGTGATTTGGACGTAAACCAGGAATAGGTAATCAAGGCGTGGAAAACATGTATCGATATTATAGAAAAACGAGTCGTTTATATAACATGTTAAGTGTGTTAATTGGTAGCAATTATTTAGCGATTGACTGATTGTAGTGATAATAGACCGCGAATATACACCCATTTCCAGGCACCGTATTTGCCTGAAGTATTGGTTAATTATATGCAATATCTTCGGGTAAGTCAAGTGATGGATGTACTCCTCAAACCAAACGGACAAATCTCTCACACGTTCACAGTTGAGCCCAATTTGTATCAAACGATTCTCTATTAACTGAGACATTGAACGGTCCATAAGAGTGTAGTAATCAATACGTAAACTAATTAATCCATGCATTTGTGACAATCCGCTCATCAGTATATCAATTGAGTTGAGATCGCACTGCCTATCGATTACCACAACAATTGCTTTCAAACGCTTCGCATAGTTCGCGATGAATGCATCAAATCCTTCAATATTACTGTTGCTGTAAATCATCTCAATTTTGGTTAGTTTCGGGAATGAGACCACATTTGAGAGACAAAATAGTTGCGAAAAGTTTTGTTTGAAAATATGAGACAATGCGCCAAATTGAGTGATATTTCTGCAAAACATAATTTCATCAACAATTGGTTGTCCGACCACTGCATTGAAGTCTATCTCGCATTGAATTACTTTCAATTGTGTGCCAAACTTAGCGACAAACTTACTGATAGTCTGGACGTCAACCTTATTCTCAATCTTCACTTTAATTGTATGCAAATGATTGCAATGATTAGTAACCGCTTCAAACATCTCGGTATTCATGCGATAGTATTGACATACAATTGACCGGATATTCGGGCACTTCTCCAGCATTGACTCAAATTGTGAAAAATCATTTGAATTGAGATTCAGTTTCTTAAATAATTTTTCTGTTATGTCGAGCGTTATCACTGTCATAGGGATCAGTCGGTGCCACTGTTTGGACACACTTTCATATCGGAACCGGTGTTCAAGTGGTAAATAAGACAATAAAACTTCGGTCAAGTCGTCGCCGATTCTGTCAAACGTGTCTCTCTGGTAGACATCCCACCCGTTTGATGGACTTCTTAAGGGCATTCTTCGGGCTTTATTATCTGACTTTAGTTTGGGAAACAGTGAACTAAATGAATGCAAAACACGTTTCGTATATTTTATTCAATAGATTAATGATTAATTAAGGGATTGTTTTCAATAACTAATTTTTATTAATCAGTGAAAGGTATTAAAAAATAAGATTACATGAGATGGCAATAGATATTGAGTTAAGTGTTAAATAATGACTGAATTTAAATAAGATGTTAAGCGCGTTATGAATGTATTGTTAGCTTTGATGTGAACTAAACTTTTTTATAATGATTAATGATTAGTTATTATAAATTGTAGACAAAACTGTGGTGACAATGGCATAAAATTCAAAAACTATAACTAAATAAAATGTATAATATTTGACACTTTATAAGATAACTATTAAATGAATTGAAAATAAAAATGAGACCTTACTTATTAAGAGACAAACACTTTGTTGAAAGTAAAATATTTGACTTTTAATAAAGACCTCTAATAAGAAAGCCAATAGAAAATGCTATTAAAATAAACTCGTGTTTTACTCAAATATTAATTGCGTTAATAGAAATCGTGATTAAACTAGGTTACTTGAAAATTAATATTATAAATTGAACTAATTTTAATTAACGTATAAAATAGTTTAAAATTAGAGATCGTGAGAAACAAAAACAAAATTCTTATTTAATTAATTATAATTCAATGTTTTAGCTATAATTTTATGATAAAATAGAAATTGATATTTAAGCAAAAGATGTAAACTTTATTAATAGTTTTTTAATTATATTAATTAAATATTTATTATAAAAATATAAGAATAATTTAAGAGAATATTGAGTTATTTAACATAATTATCATATATTATCACTTAATTCTGTGTTAACGGGTTGCCTATGATTAACAATTTCGTTAACATTATTCTCGTATTGTTTTTGGTGAGCATTTTGGTCAACACTATCGTGTGTTTTGTGCGCAATTCGTGTCGTGTCCTCGTCTGACGTATGGGAACGGGATGTCTGCGGCCGTGACAGGTCTGGTGTGGACGGACTACTGGGTATTGTAGTGGTGGGTGCGCTGAACGATGGCCTCTCTTCCCTCAGGTATGTGCTCTTCTGGCTGTCGCTCAGGTATCCAATGCTTTCGATCACTCCGTATAGGAAATACATTAACATTCCTGTCATTTCATACAAATATAATCATCAGATTCTGTGATATTCTGTGAATTAGTGTTTATTTTATAGTAAAGGTTGTCATGAATTGATTGATACCTAATACCATCCAAACCCCGAACCGAATCCACGTTAGACTCGATAAGTGTATCATTAGATAGATGTTGACGAAAACGCTGAGCACAGGTATGAGCGGAACGCCCGGTATCTTAAATGACATCTTTTCGTCGGTCTGGGGCTGGCGTCTCAATGCGATCATAAATATGGTTAATAGCAATAGTGTCGAGAATACCGGTGCCAATGCATAAGCTTTTAATTGGTATAATTCGTTGGGTAAAAATCCTACCAGTGCTGCCAAAATTGTCACTAAAATACCTGTTCAAGTAGTGATACATTTTGTTACTTAATGCAAGGGAAAGGGAGGTATTATAACTTCTATAAGTGTTTTACTTACATATAATTACAATTAAATAACGACTCGTTGTAGTGGTCTGTGAAGTCAGCTCTAATTCATTGTCCAAATTAAATAAACGTCTAAATAGTGTATTATTTGGTGTGATTAGTAGGTGTTCCCGATCGCCACTGGAGTCTGAGGTGTCGTTGGCATCGGAACTGCTAATCATGTAATGAAAGTTGCGTTTTTGGTACCGGAGTAACAGCACAGATATGGACACCAGAGCGTAGGCTAATAGTGTGCCTAAAATACAAATTAATTTTGTTAAATAGTAAAGCTATGGAAAGTGGCCATTGGGTCAGACATGTCATACCAATGGACATCATATCTGCTAATTCTGTGAACTCAAACATTGCGGCCATAAGTCCACTGAAAACGCCGGCAAAAAGAGTAGCCCAATGGGGGGTCTTTAGGCGCCGGTGAACCCCCGAAAAGAAGCCGAATATCACTCTATCGCTTCCCATGGAGTATAAAACTCGTGTCAACGGATACATTGTTCCCATAAGACCTACCGGTGCCACGAAAAACAGTACATTAATTGTCATTCTCAAAGTCAATTGACAGTATTTGTAATACCGATAGACTTTCAGTATATTAACAAAACAAAACTCAATTATTAATTACTTGAATACAGTCCGGCCATTGCACCGACTGTTAGGATATAGCTGGCGAACGGGTAGCCAACCTGAGTGAACACGTAGGGCAGGGGTGCCAACTGGTTCTGGTCATAGTAGGGCCACATGAGGGTCTGGATGGCAGACACTCCGCAATAGCAGACAAATATGACGAGTAATGAGTATATAATACTCAATGGTATGGCTTTTGCCGGGTT